TCAGCTGCTACTGATGTCCCCCATTGTGCTGGTTGTTACGGGGAAGATACAAGTTGGATCTTATTTACAGATGATAAACCTTTCATGGTTTCAGAGAGCTATCAAGGTTTAGAATGAGAAGAGACCCACAAGAAAGTACAAGCCAGGATTCAGTCAGGAAAAGGGAAACCACCTAGCTACTGATAGATGGAGTTTAATGCAGGAAATTGGATAAACAGTTGGCAGTACAAAAAAGTACAAAGGGGACACACAGGTGACAGAGAGGTAATAATTCCAGGAAGCGAGTGTGAACCCTAGGACTAGAAGGAGCAAATGGAAGTGAATCTAGAAGCTTCTAAGAGGTAATCACTGGGCTGGAATCCAGACATCTGAGGACACTGCCTGGCTGTGGCTGCTTTCCCTGAGGGATGCCACTGGGTCTTCCTGAGATGCAGCTGCCAGGAAGAGCAGGCAAAGAGGAAGGAGCAAGTCCTTCTCTCCCCACTGTGTTCTCGTCTCTCTGTGGGGCTTCATGCTGGCAGAGCCCAACAGCACAGGCAAGAGAGGACGTGGTTGGTAGAGCCCCAGCCCCAGGATCATGGAGCCAATGAAGAAGGGTAGGTTTGGAGCCGAGACACTAACGAGTTTGATGACTGGCGCAAAGAGCACATAGTCCCCCTTCTCCTCTGATTACACGTGAGGATCTGGGATCCAGAGCATTTAAGAGAGTTGTCTAGGGCCCCACATCACAGCAGCACAACCAGGACTTGGCGGGCGTGGACATGTGAAAACATAATGATAGTTAAAATGTACATTTGTAAGGTACAAAACTGTCAACTTTGAATTTGTTTCTATCGAAGAGAATTTTATAGATAATAGATGTATTTAGATGAGACATTTTCAAAATGTGTTTTGGCTTGTAAAAGTCATACTAATTACAGTAATTTATGTGATTTATTTAATTAGCAAGCTATAGAATTATGATTATGTATGCTAATACTAAGGGTCAGATCAATTTTGTTGTTTTATTTTAATTGCTACACCACGCCTCTGGTCATATAGGCGTAATCTCCATTGTTTTTTGCTTATGTGATGTATCCATACACACGAAACTCAAAAAGTGTTTAACAAGAATGTTGCCTTTAGTGTTATATTAAAGACAAGGAAATGAAAACCAATGGAGCGACGAGGGAAATTATCCTCAAATGACAAGCCCAGCTGGCTAGATATGTAATCTTCATCAGCAAATCTCTATTTCCCTGGGATATCAGAAATGATATTTTTTAGATGGCTTAAGATCCCCTTAAAACATTCAAAGATGGTCTAATATAGGCAGGAAAGCACAGGGAGTCTGGGAAATATTGAATCTCAGCCCTGCCACTTTCAAGGTGACCTTGAGTAAATTACATTCATGTCTTACTTGTTCTATGGGGATAGGAATGTTCATTTATTTATTCAACAAATGCTCACAGGCGTTTGCCATGTGCCCAGTACTGCTCTTAAGGGTTAGGAACCAATGACTCCTTCTGCCCTCACTGAGCTTTTCATTGCAGTTCAGGAAGGCAGAAAATAAACACATAAATATGTAAAATGTTAAGTAGCAGTAAATAATATGGGAAAAAACAAAGCAAGACAGGCAAGTAGAGAATAATGAGAGAGGATAATTTTTATGCAGTGAACAGAGAAGGCCTATCTAATAATGTAACATCTGAGCAGATATCTGAAGGAAGGAGGGAGCCATGTGAGTATCTGGAGAAGAGCTTTTCAAACGGTGGGACCTAGAAGTGCACAGGGCCTTGTGGTGGAACAGCTCAGTGAGGAAAGTGTGAGACAAAGGGGAGGGGGGTAGGAGATGAGGTTAGAGAGTTGTGGGGAGGTGAGAAAGGGTAAGACCAGATCCTACAGGCCCCTTCAAACCACAGGAGTTCACTACAAGGTTTTGAGCAGAGGACTGATGTAATCAGACAAATCAGCAAGAAAAAAACAGACATCCCCATTAAAAAGTGGGCAAAAGACATGAACAGAAGTTTTTCAAAAGAAGATAGACAAATGTCCAACAAACATATGAAAAAATGCTCAATATTACTAATCATCAGGGAAATGCAAATTAAAACCACAATGACATACCACCTTACCCCTGTCAGAATGACCATTATTAAAAAGTCAGAAAACCATAGAAGTTGGCATGCATGCAGAGAGAAAGGAATGCTTATTCACTGTTGGTGGGACTGCAAACTAGTATAACCTCTATGGAAAATAGTATGGAGATTCCTCAAAGAACTATAAGTAGACCTACCATTTGATCCAGCAGTCCCACTACTGGGTATCTACCTAAAGGAAAAGAAATCATTTTATGAAAAAAGACACCTTCACTCAAATGTTTATCATAAAAACAATTCACAGTTGCAAAGACAAGGAATCAACCATCAATTCATGTGTGCATAAAGAAAATGTGGTATATATACACCATAGAGTACTACTCAGCTATAAAAGGGAATTAAGTGATGTTTTTTGCAGCAACTTGTGAGGAACTGGAAACCATTATCCTAAGTGAAGTATCTCAGGAATGGAAAAACCAATACCACTTGTACTCTGTAATGACTGGGAACTAAATGATGGGCATGCATGGGCACAAAGAGATGTAAAGAACATTAGAAAACAAGAAGAGGGGAGGCTTGGAGGGAGGTGAGAGATAAAAACCTACCTGTTGGGGACAATGAGCACTATTCTGGTGATGGTCACGTTGAAAGCCCCAACTTAAGCATTATACAAGGTGTCCATGTAACAAAAACATTTGTACCCCCTTAATATTTTGAAATTAAAAAAAAAAAGAATCACTATTGCTGGTGAGGAATAGACTGTCAGGGGCTGCCCGGGAGGCAGAGAGGCCAGTTAGAAAGCTATTGCTGTGATCCAGGCCAAAGATGACGGCGGCTTGGAAGAGGATGTTGGGGTGGAGGTGTTGAGAAATAGTTGGGTTCAAGGTAAGTTTCGAAGGACAAGCCAACAAAATTGCTGATGAACAATGAGAAGAAAAGTAAAAGGTGACCCCAAAGTTTTGGCCTGAGCAACAGGAAGGATGGAGATGCTATTACTGAAAAGAGAAAGGCAGTGGGAGGGGTTGGTTAATCGTGGTAAGCCTGTTGTGAGATAGTGAAATGCAACAAACGAGGAGATGTAAATGAAATGATCACCGTTCTTGGCCCACAGCAGCAGTTTGACCAATCTCAGTCCCTCCCCTGTCCTTTGTAACACTTGTGTATTACCTATGCTTGTTCTCATAGTGAATTTATTCGCTACCCAAGCACACCTGCCCTTTTTTTCCCTACTTCTCCACAGATTAATATATAGTCAAAACAGTTCCACAGCAGTGAGAGGGTCAGCTAAACCTCACCCAGAAAAACCCTCAACAGACTAGACTTGACAGATACATAAATTACATTTTTAAATAAATAAGGAGAAATATTTGATACCAAAACAATATCCGTGGCAATCCTCCTTGTGACTTGAAGTACTTAAAGTGCTTCAGCATCCCAAAAATTTCCCTGGTATTCACTGATTTTTTAATAGAAATTCTGTGAAGAGTAAAATATAATATTGTATAAGCACTTTTTCTTAGAATTTCTGTAGAGATGCTGAAAAACTGAAAGTTTACCAAAAAATCTGCAGAAACATTTACTGAATATATATTTCTTTGAAAAATTTCCTACTTGTTTTATTCTTTTGTGTAAAATTTTGAAGCATAATATAAAAAGGAAATCAATCTTCTAAATTCTATGCAGTTATATTATGTAAATGCCTTAGCAGTATTTTATCCAATGCCAACCTGAAAAAATAACGTGTAAATAGAATCATACAGTCTACATATTAAATAAGTAAGCTCAGTTCTTTAAAATTCTTTATTGCAGATTCATTTGAAACGTCTGTATTCAGTTCACATATCTCTATACTCTTAAGAATCATCAGCATTTAATTTATGAGTGTTTTTTAGTTGAAAAGATTCTGCTGCTTAAAATTCAATTCAGTCCTCTTGGTCTGAGTTGAGGAATACTTATATCTTGTGTTTTTCCCAAAGCCCTCCTCTCTGCCCAATTTCCCATAATTGATCTAATCTTTAATCCAAAGTAGAGTGCAGCTCCCACCCCTTCCCCACCCCAGCACAGGGGCGATAATACAGAGAATAACAGAGCCCAGGGAGAAATAACACATTTGTCTCATGGTTGCTATTCTTCTGTCCCTAGAAAGAATCTAGTGTATGTGTGACTTCATGTAGCATTTAAAGCTGCTATCATGTGGTTTAAAAAATAAGCCCTGCAGCGAGCCAAGGAACAGCTGACGGCCCACCACCAGTAGGAAGCACACGAGAACAGACCATTTACCTTCCAGGAGCGTGTGCCTGGGATGTGTTCATTACAGTATTCAGCAGCAGCAGGACAGGGCACCCAGCCCTGCCAAGGAGGCTCAGGAGCAAACAGGGACTTCTCTCTTCTGGTTGGCATGTGGGAGCATTGGCAGCAGCAACAAAACCCCTGTAGATGTCTAGGTTTGTGACTCATGGGCTTTTAATACTAAATTATGGTATGACAGGAACCTCTTCAGACTCCCCAAGATACACAGTGGAAAGCAAATGTCTTTGAGCTAATATACCAGTATTTAGTATAAAATGCGGTAAAGTAGTTAGCACTGGCTATGCAAAGCCCAGAGTTGACTATGGAGTCTTTTGTTCTTATGTTTCCAAGTCTAACTTTCCTAAATCATGAGCAAGGTATCATTTTTCTCCAGTAAGAATCTACTTCTCACTTTTATTTAAAGTCTACTTCTTAATGCTCCTCTTTAGGTTTAACCCTGCAATACCCCTGTTTAAAGCAAGTAGCAAGATTTACCCAGGTTTCATTATCACAGTGATTATTGGCAGTTTTAACCCTACTAACACCAAGTCCATCTTCCAGCTGGGATAGCCCCATCCTTTGAGTTAGATGGTAAAGAAAATTGGTTTTGACTGATCTGTTTTTTAATTTCAGGAATAGTTGCTGTTCTCTTCTGTGGAGTCACACAGGCACATTATACTTACAACAATCTGTCGTCAGATTCCAAATTGAGGACTAAACAGGTAAAAGAAAAAACTCATTGTACGCTTTGTCTCTTTGCTCAGTGTAATGGTTATGCAGCGATTGTGGCAGTGCATTCAGAAAGGATTTCATTAGTAAAGGAAGAAAGTAAGCTTAAGGCTTCATTACGGGTTGGATATTTATAGATCTTTTTTTCCCTCTAGGATAACCATTAACAATTCTCTTGGTAAGCAAAAATATAGTTATAATAGTCTCTCCCTCCTGAGAGATAGGGAACTTAGACTGTCAGTCTTGAAGATGAAAGGCCTATAGTCAGTAATAATTCACAGTCACTCACATCTAAAAGCATTATAAAGCATGTGAGATCAGGTTGTTACAGAGGGAGAAGGAAATGAAGAAGGAGGAAGTGATGTTTGGTCTTTAATTGGGTGCTTTTGATTCCAAGCAAACTCAACTGCCAGTTGTCACACAAGCAGAATGTATCTCTCTCTCTTTTGACAAGAACATATCTGTGGATATCTGCACATGAACACATATAGATTCCTTCCACAAACATTTGCTACAGAGCCCCTCTGTGCCAAGGACTATGCTAGGCGCTAGGGATACAAGGACAGATAGTGTGTGACCCTGCCTTCAAGAAGTTCATTATCAAGTCCGTTGATGAGGACAAGGATGCATAGTGAACAATTATCCACAGTGTGATAAGTACTACGATAGAAAAGAATATCTGTATGGAATGTTTCGGAACATTTAGTAGGGCATCTTCGTTAGTTAGGAATGGGAAAGTCAGGAGATAAAGTTTCCAGAGATTATGTCCGATCTGGAGCGTGAAATGAAAATAGAAGTTAACTAGGTGAAGATGTTGGGTCTAGTGGGGAATGTAGGGTAGCAGGAAGGGCATTTGAGGCAAGGGATCACCATGGATAAAGTCTCCCAAGCAGTCAATCGAAGCTCTGTAAATAGTTCAGTGTGGCTGGCAATTGGGATAAGGCTATTGCAAATGGAATACAGTGAGGGATGAGACCATAGATATAGCCAGAGGCCAGCTTATGAAAAGACTTATGTACTTTGTGAAGGAATTTAGACTTTATACAAAAGGTAATGAGGAGTGGCTTAAATAATAGAAATTTATTGTCTCACAGTTCTGGAGGCCAGAAGTCTGAGATCAAGGTGTTGGCAGGATTATTTCCTTCTGAGGGCAGTGAGGGAGAACCTGTTCCATGTCTCTCTCTTAGCCTCTGGAGGATTTCTGGCAATCTCCAGTGTTACTTGGCTTGTTGCCACATCACCCCAATCTCTGCCTTTGTGGTCACATTGCATTCTCCCTGTGTCTGTGTCTACTGCCAATTTCCCCTTTTTATGAGGACACTGGTCAAATTGGGCTACTACTCCAGTATGATATCATCTTAGCTGATTACATTTTCAATAATTCTGTCTCTAAATAAGGTTACATTCTGAGGTACTGGGAGTTAGGACTTCAACATATGAACTTTGGGGGGGATACAATTCAGCCCATAAAAAGAAGTCATTGAAGGGTTCTAAGCAGAATACTTTTAAGATAATTGGAGTTCCACTTTAGAAATATTACTCTGGCAGACATGAGGGACATGGATCAAAGGACAATTTTGATCAAAAGGATGCTTTTGCTGTGTAACAACCACACAACTCCAGTGGCATCCAACAATAAACACTTGTTTATCACACACCTGCAAGGCTCAGCCACTTGAGCTGGGTTAAACTGTTTCTTTTTGTACCAACGGAGTTCACTCGGGTGTGTGTGGGTTTGTTGGGGGCTCTATTCTAGGGTAGGCTTGACTGGGGAACATTTGCCAGTGCCATGTGTCTCTCACTCTTTTCCTGGTGAAAAACAAGCTCCAGCATTGAAGAAAGTCCATTTCTAGCCTGTGCTTGCCTCACATTTCCTAAACATCCTATTGGCCACAGAAAATCACATGGGTCAGTCCAAAGTACAGAGGCCAAGCAGGTCCCTCACCCACAGTGGGAGAGCACTTCAAAGTTATATATCAAGGAGTGTGGATATAGGGAATGATGGAGAATTGAGCCAAAGGATGCAATTATCCCAAATGCAAATGGAGGAAAAGAGGCTCTTATAATAAACCTGACACGGCCAAGGATATGTGATGTGATATTGGGGTAGTGGGAGTAGAGAAAGCAGAAGTGACATCCAGGCAGAACCTGTAATTGGCCAGGAATTCCTAAACAGAAGTTTTTGAAGGCTTACTTTAGAGCTCTCCCAAATGGTCACTGCTTTCATCCCTCTCTCTTTGCCGTGTCAGCTGGACCTGACCTTCCTCGACCTGCCCAGGGACTCTCTGCAAGGTCACCCCTTCCCTCTGCCCTTTACCTCAGGTGACTCAGAGGAATCACAAGATGCAATTACAAAAATTTCAAGGACCTCTGAGTAAAACAAAAACAAGAACAAACCAAAAAAAATAGATACAAATACTCAGAAACCTCCAATATACAGTCTTCTAGAATCCTTTTAATTATGGAGACTACTAGTATTCCTTAGGGCTTAAAGGGAAACATCTTGGGCTGGTTTTACCTGGCCTCTTTTGGTTCTCTGAGCATTTGTATTCTGGGAAGCTGAACCCTGGTTAGGGACTTGCACTTTTAAGTCATGCTATCTGGACTGCTCAGCAGAACTTCAAAGATAACTCAACTCATGGCAAGACAGCACCCCAGCACCTAGGGGAGACAAAGCCAGAGTCAGTTCCCACAGCTTCTGTTCTCCCTCTGAGTGGCTTGACAAGCACTCCCTGACAGGCTGCCAGCATCCATTTTACAGCACTCTCCTTTAAGGAAGGAGAGTTTTACAAGTTCTTTCTTTAACATCTAGATAACTGCGTATCCCCATCTCTGTTCCCCCACTGCCTTCTTTCCTGGGCAGCTGGATCATAGCCAAAGCCTAATGAATGCTAATTTCCTTCCACTCCTTTCTCATTCCCTTCCTTACTTCTTTTCTTTCTTTCAGGATCTGTCATTTTGTGCTTATCTTTTCTCTTACATATTTATGCATACTTGCTTATCTATGCATACATGTACTCGTACATATCCCACACTCTAGTATATAGATTCTAAGGTCACCACTTTGAAAGAAATGTGATCAGAGGGCCTTGGCCACATCTGCACCAGTGTAGCAAGCAAAGTGCAAACTCTACGTGGGAAACCAATTACAAATTGTAGAGCAATGCTGAGGCATATACTGTAGAGGTTGCCACTATGTCCTCTCTGAAACTGGGAAAGGTTTGGAAAGTATTATGTGATGTCACATGGTTACAAAAGAGTTTTTTTCATTGACTGTGTCTATACCAGCTAATCAAATAGCTGTATCTGGATATAAAGGCTTTTGAGAATTATATATTGTTTATAGTTCCAAGAACAAAAGTGCCTTTTTAAAATTGAATTTTTTCACTTCAAGATATGTTTTGTAAATGATAATAACCTTGTAGATGTAGATGAATTCATTTTTGCTCCAACCTATGAAAAAACATCTAACATCACTATGTGTGAGACACAAAGCAGCCTCACAGAGACACTGTGATGCTGTTACCCACCCTAAGGATTTATATTTTGAATAGCAAAGCAATCTATTGAAGAGTATATGAACATATGCAGCAATCTCTATGCCTTGACCGGGAGTGGTCTGTTACTTTGCGGGGTGCACATCCAGTCCTAGAGATAGAGAGATACTGCACGCACTGCTAGGGACACTCAGGATGGGTGTCAGCACACAGTGGTCTGTAGCCTAGAGGTCTCACTCTGAGCTACCCAGAAGACTGCGTACAGACCCCATGATCCCACCCACATAAGTTTCAGCCTGCCTCCTACTCCCCTTTCCCTCATCCCCTCACCCCCAAGGCAGGGCTAGGCATTTGTTAACTGGGCCAGTGCCAGGGTGTTTCCATCAGTCATCTTTTCCTTGCTTGAGACTGACTTGCAAAACCGTGTACTTCCATCCTGTCCCTTTTAACTAGAATTTCTCCTTCCCTTCACACAATTCGCACTTAAAAATTATTTCCAACATACACAAGGATGTATGATATGAATGTAAATAATTAAAATTTATTGTGCATTAGCATGTATAAAGTACTGATCTCATTTACTTTCTACTTACCTTTCTACCTAAGAGGTAGTTCTTAATAGTATCATTAAATATCTGCATTCATTGAAGAAATATTTTTTGACAGCCTACTTTGTACCAGCCACTGTTCAAGGTGCTGGAGACACAAAAATGAACAAAAAAGAATTTCTAGTAGAGGAGCTTTACAGTAATGAAAATAAATAAGCAAAATACACAGTATGTTCATGGTAAGATGTAAGGCCAAATAATAAAGCAGGTTTAGGAGTTCGTGTACTGGAAGGCAGGCTGGCAATTTTAGATTGGGTGGCCAGGGAAGGCGTTAGTGAGAAGGTGATACTTGAAGGGAGTAAATGAGGGAGGCATGTCAACATTTGGGGCAGAAATTGGGAACAACAAATACAAAAGCCCCCTGGGGCAGGGGGACCAGGGTGACTGGAGCAGAATAAACCAGGGAAGTATATGAGAGACAGTGTCAAAGCAGGGACACAGGACAGGTCCTGGAGAGCCTGGGAAAACACTGGTGGGAAAACACTGGAGATGCCCATAAGTACGGGAATGTGCATGCTACGATTTAAGTTTTAAAAGAATGGAGGTGTCATTTATTAGCTAAGAAAGACTGAGTAACAGGTTTGGGGAACAATTAGGAGCTCAGTGTTGTCTGATTAAGTTTGGGATGTATATTAGTCAATGAAGTGGAGCTGTTGAGTAACCAATTAGACATAGGGAGAGAGGTCTAGGATACAAATATAATTTGGGGAGTCATCAGCATAGAGATGATATTGAAAACATGAGACTGGGTGAATCTCCAGGGGAGTGATCAAAGAGAGGGCCGAAAACCAAGTCCTGAGGTTCTCCAGTGTAACTTGATCAGAAACCAGTGAAGGAGACCAAGAGATCGTAGCCATCGGGGGAAAAGAAAAGCCAGGAAAGTATAGT